ACACTGCTGGCTCATGTTCAGCCAGCTGTCGACCAGCACCCCCAGGTACCTCTCTGCCGGGCAGCTTTCCAGCCACTCTGCCCTGAGCCTGTAGCATTGCAGGGGGGTTGTTGTGACCAAAGTGCAGGACCGGGCACTTGGCTTTATTGAACCTCATACAATTGGCCTCAGCCCATCGGTCCAGCCTGTCCAGATCCCTCTGCAAAGCCTTCCTACCCTCAAGGAGATCAACACACCCGCTCAGTTTGGTGTTATCAGCAGACTTACTGAGGGAGCACTCCATCCCCTCATCCAGGTCAAGGTCAATCTCCTGATTCAGGTCCAAGTTGGTATACATGATATTCTGCCCCTTTAGCAGGAACTACTGTAAACACAGAAGAAGAGCAGAAAATTATCTTGCATGTATTTAACCAGTAGGTTGTCTCTTCAAAAAAGAGGAGGAGAGGGGGGGAAGAAAAGGGAGCTCCCAAAATGCATTGCATTTCAGCAGTACGATCAATTATATGTGGGTAATATGAAAGGGATTTACCATGCTTGCATTCTCTTCTAATAGTCCTCATCTCTCATTTCCTCCATTCCTCTGCCTCCAACTTTTCTCAGGTCACCTGAGGGCTTAACTGCTAAAAGACTGGATTATATGTTTGAAATCTCAATAAGTAGAAGGTGTCCTAAAGAAAAAGAAATAGAGTTGCTGCTGCCCATATATAGTTATGCTGAATCAGGAGTACAAAACATAGAACAGTTCCAATGCTATGAAATTTCAGGAGCATCTGTGAGACCTATCCGGTTATGAACTGTAAGAATTCTGGACTGATGGCTTTTTTTTGGTAACACATGACACCTATTTTGTGGTATTTTGTTACTACAAAGCTGTATGTCATATTGTGCCATGAAGTTAAAGGTCAGTGCAGCCATAGCAGTGGTTAAAAGTGGATGGTGCAGTAAGATTCCCTATGTTCTAGATGTCTGCATGGTTTTAACAGAGCTGTAAAAATATTTTGAGATATTCTGGATGGCTTGTATTTTATTGCATTGTTTCACTAGGCCTTTCCAAAATCTCAAATTAGGAGTAAAGTTTATAACTTAGGCAATAATCAGAAAAGTAAAAAATGATAGATGGGATTTATTACTTAGGTAGGCAGACATAAATGCCTTGTGTTGTGAATAGACAGTTCAAAAGCAATGTTTTCATGTTATTCCTTCTTGTTCTCTTTTTAAAATTAGGTTACAGGTTTGCAAGCCACATTACAAAATTTAGAGTCTGGACATGCTCTGCAGATTCCTGTGACAAAAGGTAAAATATTCCTGTCACCAAGCTCAGACTGGTTATGGGTTTTTTGTTTGTGATGCATTTCAAAAGCTGGTGTAACAGTAAATCAGATGTACTTGCACTATAAACATTTTGTCAGCTGTCTTGGTGATAGAACAGTAATTCTGTAATTTGAATATTTATTCTAAAATGTATCCACTAAGGACAGTGAGACTGCTCATGTCAATATGGAATATATGAGTAACTATGGAAGGACTTCATCCTAGAAATCTGCTTTGTGTCTGTACACTTACAGCCTGTCCAGATCCCTCTGCAGAGCCTTCCTACCCTTAAGGAGATCAACACACCTGCTCAATTTGGTGTCATCAGCAAACTGACTGAGGGAGCACTCAATGCCCTCATCCAGGTCATTGATAAAGATGTTAAACAGGACAGGCCCCAAAACCGATCCCTGGGGAACACCACTGGTGACCGGCTGCCACCTGGACTTCACTCCGTTCATCATGACTGTCTGGGCTCGGCTGTCCAGCCGGTTTCTTATCCAGCAAAGGGTGTTCCTGTCTAAGCCATGAGCCACCAGCTTTTCTAGGAGAATCCTGTGTGACACGCTGTCGAAGGCCTTGCTAAAGTCCAAGCAGATGACATCCACGGCCTTTCCCTCATCCACTACATGGGTCACCTGGTCATAGAAGGAGATCAGGTTGGTCAAGCATGACCTTCCTTTCATGAACCCATGCTGGCTGGGCTTGATCCCCTAGTTGTCCTGTACATGCCGTGTGAGCACACTCAA